TCTGCGCCTCCTCTGAGTGTCCGTATGCGTTACTCTTTCCTCCTAGTTGTAGGAATTCCACTCAGCCAGCATTCCTGTGGTTCTGGATGATGTCCCTTCCGTCTTTTAGTTTCACTTTTGAAATGGTTGTTCAAGGCAGCAAACTCCGGCGTTAACCTATGCCGCCATCTTGGTTCAACAACTCTCCAGTAGTGTTTTAAAAAGGATTCCTTAAGATTTTATATAGAGATGGCCAGGTGGTCTGTGACTAAGGAAAATTGTACTTCATTTCTAGATGCACTCAAAAAACATAAATAAATAACATTACAGTAATTTAAAACATTCAAGTAACTCACAGGAAGGCAGGGATAAGAAAACAAATGAAAAACAAAAAGAACAAACAAAAAGCAAAATATAAATTGTCAGACTTAACTTCTAATACATACCTAGTCATCTTAAATATAAATATTCTAAAAATGCCCAAAAGGCCCAGATTAAGAAAGTAGATTTAAAAACATGACTCATACAAGAATCAATCGGCAGTGCCCTCCGAGGTCCCGGATCCGTCTCTTACTTCCACAGTGTTTGGACGGAACAAACCCAGGGATGCCCCTTCTCCCAGCCTCCGGCCGCTCTCCTGCGTCTCATCCAGTCACTACCCCAGAACCACCTCCGGGACCAGCCAGCACACCGGTTTTTTCCTACCTTCACTCCCATTGCCGAGCAGCCATGACCTCCCACATTCGTCAGAATTATTCCGAGGTGGAGGCTGCGGTCAGCTGCCTGGCCAGCCTGCCTCTGGGCCTCCCACACCCACCTCTCTCCGGGCTACTGTTTCCACCAGGAGCATGTGGCTCTGGAGGGCGGCGGCCACGCTTCCTCGAGTTGGCGGAGAAGCGCGAGGGGCACTGAGCATCTCTTAAAGCTGCAGAACAAGCGTGGCGGCCGCATTCTCTGCCAGGCCGTGCAGAAACCTTCCCAAGATGCAGGGCGGCCAAACTCAGGACGCCATGGAAGCCGCCCTGGCCTTGGAGAGGAACCTGACCCACCCCTTTTGGAGCTGCAGGCCCTGACCCTCATCTCTGACTTTCTGGAGAACCACTTCCTAGATGAGGAGGTGAAACTGATCAAGAAGATGGGCGACACCTGACTCACATCCGCAGGCTGGCTGCCCCCCAGGCTTGGCTGGGCAAGTGTCTCTTTGAAAGGCTCACCCTCAAGCACGACTCGGAGCCTTTGGAGCCCAGAGGCCTTTCCGAGGCCTCTCTGCATCCCCTGGTGTCTCTGGCTTTTACCTGAGCCTTTTCCTGAAACTACTAGCCATTCTTTTAACCACCCTGGAGCCCTCTCCCATGCATTGGGCCAAATGAAACAATAAAGCTTTTTGCAGCAAAAAAAAAAAAAAAAGAATCA